CTCATAGGAAGGAGAAATGCTTGCAAAATCTAATGAACCCGGAGTCACTATGACTTTTGATGTATTAGCAAAAGAATCTGAAAAATTTATTTATTCAGTCCTAACATCTCCATTTTAACAATTCAAACTCCAGTTAACCCAATTGCTTTGGTCATGTGTAATAGTTACTAAAGCAGATAATATCAAAAAATTATTAGAATCATTTATTATTTATTTTAGAAAGTATTTGTATTCATTTAAGAACCCATATAATCGATTTCTGGATTTACAAATGTTATTCTATTCTCTTTAAAGAAAAATATTTTTAAAACTAACTTATTTTTAAATATAAATAAATTAGGAACTCAATTATGATAACTAAAATAATTTTTAAAATTAAGTTTTAAGAAACAAAAAAGATTCAATATATTGTATTTTAAGTGAAACAGGTTTGAGGCAAAAACTAAAACATATATAATTTGAAATTTTAAAGAATTTTAATTTAATATAATTACATATTTGGATTAATTTTAATGATATTCAAAAGTGATTAATATACAGAAAATCATTTTATTTATGAATTAAATACTCAATCTAATTCACTAATAATATACATATAAAATTATTTACGAATCACAATTCTAAAATTCTTGTATGAATTGAAATTTCCTTGAAAAACAGCACCTAAATATTATGTTAATGTCTCTACCCTTTATCAGCTCATATTTGTTCATTTCTAATGATCTATCTATTATTCAAAATGCTTAATTTTAAATTAATCAAATTTGATATATGTGTATTTATGTTTTTTTATTTATATAAAAATTCTAATTAAGCTAAATATTTGATTCTAACTTAGTACATTAAATCACTCTTAATTTATTGATCTTCAAGTTTTCTAAGTGGTATCTTCATCTCTGAAATTATATATTTTAAGTTGGAGTCATTTTGCGTATTCCTTTTGTACTTGAGAAACCTTACTCTAAATTACCAGAGTATCATAATGAGTACTTTCATTAGTATTCTCTAAATACTTTTAAATAATTTAATAACCATGATTAATTATTTAGATGTTTGACTTTAATTAAAAATTTTTCCTTTATATCTTAATTAGAGTCTAAAGATTTAAATTTTGAAAATCTATTAGTATTATTATGAGGAATATAAGAATAAAGTTCAGATGATAAGCCTTCTAATAAACATTTTTTTTTGGCTTTGGTTAATGTTGATTCATTAATTGCTTCTACGATATACTTTAATATAGTGTAACCATTTTTGATGTTTTGATTACCTAATTTTCCTTAATGCATTCTAAAAGAATCATAACTTATCTTAAAATAATCAAATTTTATTTACTTCATCATTTATTTATCCATCATCCTAACATCATATATTAATATAAGTAAATCTTTAATTTCCTTTTATAATTTTTATTTTTCTTATCCATTAACTTAAACAGCAAGGAATTTTTCTAAAATTTGCTAATCTGCTGAAACAGTCTTATCATTAATTTTCTATTCAT